ACTGCAGAGAAATTATTATTGTGATAGGGAATACGCCACGGATTTTCTTGAATTTCTAAGTGGTTCATTCTAGACGGGGTTATCGTCGTCAAGCCCTTTCGTTGTTTCCATCATCCATTTGGGTACAAAGAATCACCGCATCACAGAGGGTTAATTTTTGCTGAATTGAATCTCCCAATAAACATGGTGCCGATTTGGTTTTCATTGCTTTGAAGTTTTTTCCTTCTCCTGTACTTTTTAACAGAACCATTTAAAGCTGCAATCCTACTTATGGCCAAATTTAGCCGCTGCCGCGAGATAAGAAATTGTGTTGTCGTCTGAGTTTGAGAAGTTACGTTTAGTAGTGAATGATTTACGGTCGTCTGGCTCAGTCGCGCAGCGTGGAAAATTTATTTTAACTGGGGTTTGGTGAATATGTCTCCCGCTCGCGCTTCTGTTTGATCTTTGCTTTACCCGTTAAGCTACCTTGTTCTAAGAGCATTCACACATGAAATTATTTGTTTTGGGATTTGAAGATGTCTTCGCTATTCGAACTACCCATTAATCTTTTTGTCACAAAGGCGAATATCTGCTCAAACTTCCAGAAATCATATGTGTTATATTCTTTTATCTTACCAGTTTGGCATGAATTCTCCTTTGGGTAATACTCTTCATGTAAAATAAGCTTTAGAAAGTTAATTTAAGCACGTTTTATATTTTCAGAGGTTCTAAAAGTGAGTAGTGTTAGGTGTTTTGACCGGGATTGGTGCTTTATCTAAGCGACTGCGGATATTGAAATAAAAAATATTTTTCAACTTTCAAGATGTTCTAATAACTGCTTCACCAATTTCAAACTTTCTTTTCAGATTTGGGATATCGCTCGTACTCCGGAAACTTTACGAACACCTGTATCAACGTTGGAATGCCTGCAGGGCAATTATATCCGATCATGCAAACTTACTGCAGACAGTACAAGCCTTATCGTTGGTGGTGAAGCTAACATAATCACGATATGGGATTTGCAGGTATGCCGATTATTTCATGTCATACTCTTCTTTTTTGTGCCTTATCTGTTCTGTTGTTTTTTTGTCTTTCTCTAGTGACCAATATTCCCACAGATATACGCTGCGTTTCTTTTCCACAAGACTGCGCTGACTCCCACGTGAATGATTTTCGATGCGAGCAGAACATGATGATGTCGACCCAATCTGATTAGTGGTGATGAGCGCAATCTGGTTCATCTTCCTCGCTTATCATGATTATAAGAAGTCGTTGCGCTACGTGAACATAAGAACTATTTCTAATGAGTCTCCGTGCGCGCCTCCACGCTGCGCACACGCGTCGGCGAGAAGAAAATTCTCCGACATACAAGTAATGATTAATGTGGGAGGCCCGTCAACGAGCCAATTTCAAGGCCAGCCTTTTCGCCATCAATTCTAAGAAATCGCGACTATTAACTAGCTTTCGCTTCGTTTCGTACGGGACCAGCTCATATTGACGACGATTCATTTCAGACGGGCACCATTCGCACAGAATTGGACAGCGAGTCGCAAGCTTGTTATGCTTTAGCATTATCGCATGATCACAAGTTGCTGTTTGCCTGCTGTGCTGATGGAAATATTGTTGTGTGGGATATCGAATCCAAAACCAAGGTACGACTTCAAGAAGTAGTACACTGTCGCTGGTCACTCATCAGATGCTCGCAATAGGGCTGATTCGATTCCTTGTAGGTCACTTCGCTCCCGGGACATCAAGAGGGAGCCTCATGTATTGATCTCTCTTCGGACGGTTCTAAATTATGGACTGGAGGACTTGATAACACGGTGCGCACGTGGGATCTTCGAGAGCGGCGACAATTGAGTGTAGGTTTCGTCTCTAATTTATCTGACAACAGAGACTAATATATCCGGATTCACACAATTCCGGAGCAACCTTTTTTGGATTTTAAGTGTTATTCGTATTTTTCGACAGGATTACCTTACCTATTGTTGGTAGTAAGCCCAACTATTAACTATATCTACATTTTTTCATAAATTACGTTTTAGTTTGGCTTTACGTGAATTTTCGCTTTTTGCAGCAGTTCGATTTCCCGAGTCAGATCTTCAGCTTAGGATGTTGTCCAACGGAGGATTGGGTTGCAGTGGGCATGGAAAATAATAATGTGGAGGTTGGTATTATTATCATAAATTTCTAATTGTGTTTATGTAGGCTGTAGACGTGTAGTAATTTATAACTGAAATACATCTACTCCCTTGTCGCTTTCTTCGAGTTTGGAATGATAAAAGAAGAGAGCCACACTTGTCAGGCATTGTTCATGATCTTGCCTGAACCGGCAATGAAGGCAATGGAGCCAGACACAACATTTGCTCTGCCATACATCTGGCTGACGTCGCCCATTATGGTGTATCAGAACGGTTGAATCTCCTTCGCTGAAGTTGCTACTCCTTTGGAAGGAACCCTGGTATAGGAAGGACGTCATTGTTGCATTGGAGTAGCTGTGCTCCCCATCAGAGCGAATCCGCACGAGAAAACCTGCTGTGTGGGCACCAGACTCTGGTGTTTCAGGTGCACAGTTCGTGAAGGTTTTTGCTCCCATTTGAAAGGGTTGGAACTCTGCCAAAGATTCCCTCATCAACTGACCATCCTATAC